GACTGCGAGCCAGGCCTTCTCCTCTGACATCAGTGCCTGACCTCAGAAATGTGCTTCTGGAAGAATAGTCAAACATTCCCATATACACACTCCTACACCTTGTGGACAGCCTTCCCAGAAAAGTTGAGGCTTTTATAGCTGCAAAGCCTGGGCCAGCTCAATATTGAACCCCATGGACTAAAACTGGGATGCCAGTAAAGTTCATGTGTGTGTAAAGGCAATGCTTTTTGCAATATAGTATACATATATATATATATATATATATATATATATATATATATATATATACAGTATTTGACTGTATATTGACATAGCAACTTCTTGGGACCTGCAAATAATGATGTGCTTTAAAGAAGAATTCCAGGTATAGATATTTTATACATAGTTACATTGGTTCAGGTTGGACCAATGTAACTATGCATACATCATACCAGGCTGATGCTCTTGGAAGCTGGAAATCATTGGAGTAGACACTGCTACTCCAGAGATCTTCCCTAGCTTCTAGGCTCTGTGCCTTGCTGCATTCTGAATACAGGATATCAGCCGCTCTGCGTGGGCACCATACAAAAAAATATTTGCATTGTATGAATGAATGCAAAATGTTTTCTAATTGGTGGAGAGGACAAGCAAGCCAGTTATGGTATGTGCATAGTCACATTGGTCCAAGCTGGACCAATGTAACTATGTAAAAATATGCCACACCTTTCATTCAATTTGAAATTGAGCATAATAAAAAATAAAGATGTGCACGACAGAAGAATTTTTTTCATTTCGGTTTCATTCGTTAAGCAAATAATTTTATTTCATCATATTCATTATGTTAGAATGATTCTTTCTTGAAATGTTTTCATTATTTATGGAGAGTATATATTTGTTGTTCCAAATCTATATATATTTTTTTGAAAGTTCTCTTATTCTTTCGTTATTTCAGAAGATTCACTATATTCATTTTAATATTACTTTGTTATTTTGGGAGATTACTTGAGTCATCCCTTCTAGTCTAACCCACAAAAGAAAAATGGAATGAGCTGATTGGACAATATCGACTGGAGTCATAAAAGTAACAAATAGAACTAAATTAATTTCAGATTAATTCTTTATGTTATAATTCAGAGATTCTGATGGATCTACCTCAATCCAACCCATATACAAGAAGTAGGAATCATCCTATTTCACTTTTATACATTACAGTATTTATTGCAGTATGTTTACATTTCATACGTGGTGCATTTCTTATAATAATGAAAAATGTTACTGCAAAAAGAATCAACTGATTACACTGTTCAACAGGTAAAAAGTTTTGGGCATAAAATTAGCTAATCTTACATAATTTTGGGGTGCTGAAAACTAAAATGACCCTAAAAAATGTTGATTGGCTCTAGTTTCCATGATATATTCACCCATCTAATGACGTAAGCCATTCAAAATTATGATGCAACTTCAGCTGCATATTGCGCAATTGATACTGGTGACCAATAGAAAATTGCATATATACTGAGATGATGCAATATTAGCCTTTAATTGCATCACTTCACTGCATAAAAGCTGCAGTATCTGTAGCTGATTGTAGTTCGACAGCGTCTTTACATTTCGTTTTATGCTTATATAGGCTACTCAGTAATGCCTCGAACTTGTGTGAATAAAGCAGATAATTTCTGCTATATCTGCGGTGAAATAACTTTTATCTCACAAAAAAGGAGGATAACAGGAATGATTAAGAAAGCCTACAACTTGTATTTTGGCTGCAAGATAGGAGACCAGGACAAGAGCTGGGCACCACATATATGCTGCAATTCTTGTGGGACGGCACTGGAGCAATGGTTGAATGGAAAAAAGGAATCTATGCCTTTCGCTGTGCCAATGATTTGGAGAGAGCCAACAGATCATGTTAGTAATTGTTACTTTTGTATGGTGCCTCCAATTGTAAAAGGGCTAAATAAGAAGAAAAAGTTATCTGTGCACTATCCAAATATTCCATCGGCAATACGTCCAGTTCCATGGAGAGGGGCTACCAATTCCTAAAGCACCAGAATCCTTCGTGGTTGAGTCAAGTGAGGAAGAACCTGAAGCGTGTAGTCACGTGCAGTTGTAAGAGATAGCCCTTTCCTCGAATACAAGAGAAAAGCCAAGAGAAGCAAAACCGATACAAACTGAAGACAAAACTAGTGAGAATCCTAAATATTAAAATGATTCAACTTAGCTTATGGCTATAATTTTTCTTGGTAATCCTATGCAATATATTATGCCATTTAGGCTTTGTTATGTAGTCAATATCACTTGCTTTATATTTGTGGAAAGACATCTATCTATATAATTATTGTGCATTATGTAGTCATTACGCCTATAGTAGAAAACTTTCCGTTTACAGAAAAACTAGAGCCAATTGACAAATTTCATTGTTATATTTAAACTCAGAATGTGAAATTCATTAAGAAATGAATCCTTTTGTTTCCAAAAACTGGCAAAAAATAAAAATTTGTTGAACAGTGTTATTAATATATTCACACTATATTTACTAGCATAAAAACAAATGAATACAAAATCAATTTGGGTAATTTGTTACACTATTTCAGATCCTTTAAACATTAACAAAATGTCCAAACTATTGCATCATGTCATATGAATTAATACAAATTAAATTGTTGTTTTCATTATAATTTATTTAGTTGAAATTCATTATCATGATTCAACAATTTGGATACATCAAAATCTCAGAATCACAAAAATTTTGTCTGAATTTTGATTCGTAATTAAACAAATCACACACATTTTATAAAGAAGTTTCTGTGGGCAACACAGAATCGTTGGCTGTTGGCCTGCTTATCTAGTAGCCCAATGGTTCAGTGAAAGAGCGCACATGGCAGGCTGACAAATTTGCCGGTAATTAAGAGGTAGTGGATTAGCAATGTTGGCCGGCAACAAGAAGCGTTGTTTCTAGCATGGTCTCCAGGTAGAAACTTTACAAAAGATTAATGTAAACTGCATACAGTGTGGCACAATGCCAAAAAACATATTTAATCTGGATATACACTCTTCTGTGTGCATACAGCATGTATGGTAATGCACACATGTAGGTGTGAATGGGCAAAGAGTTTGCATTTATCTTTCACACTAAATCACTGCATTGATGTGAACCACCCACATAGGAATGAATGGGAGTTCTACTTGACATGCAATTTCGTGCAGCAAAATGCATGAGTTTTGCTGCATTAAAATGGACATATATGAGTACCGTAGGTCTTTAGGGTATGCATCCACTTTAAAGAGTGTGACATTTTCAAAGCAACAATTATATTTTCGTACGGACACTGTCCATCTTCCTGCACTTTCCTGAGCTCTGTGTATTACCTATATTGTATTCCTATTGCCTGAAATGTGAAACTGTGAAAGATCTGGTACATGCAACTTTATGCAGATAATCAATGGAAAGGGAAGCAGTCATTTCAGCAGCTCTCAGAACTGTATATGGGCACCGATAAAACTTGATGTACTGAAAAAGATATTTTGCTTGTAATTAGCGACAATTATAGCTGGTTAATAAGTTTTTCTCTTTTTTGTTTGCATTTTGCTGACTTTTTTAAATGTACTAAGGTTAACTTAATAAGGACATATGTGCTGCTAACCTTTTGTGTGAATATAGAATAAAAATCAGAAAGTGCAAGCATTGTCTAGGCTCTGTCAAATACTGCAACCTCTGTTGCAGAAAAGAATAGTTAGAACATGATTTGTTTTTCTTTTGGAGTCGTTTATCTCTTATCTTTGGCGCCGACGTACATGTTCTAGTGTAAGCATTCAATTTTCTTTTTGGAGGCTTGAATTGTCACCATCTTCTTCCACTAAATTGGAGAGAAACAAATAATTTAGACATTTCCTTTCCTTTTTCCCCTCTTTGTTAAAGGGAATGTCTTACATTTTTGTACATGTCCTCCTTTTCTAAGGAACATATTTACTTATATTGTAAAGCGCTGAGCAAACCGTTGGCGCTGTATAAATCTTGTATAATAATAATAAAGAAGTATGTTTGACATTCACCAAACATTTATAGGTGAGTCAATCACTATAAATTAAAACATATGCACACATTCACCAACGGTGAATGTTTGGCGAACGTCACATTCAATGCATTATATTTATAATGCATAATGCCACATTATGTTCAAGACTACTTTTTTTTTTTGGTCAGGTGAATGCCAAAAGTTGTCTATGAATATTTCATGTTTGAATTTCCAGCCAGCAGGTGGAGGTGTATTGCATTATGTGTACTTATCTTCTTAACTCCTCTGCTGATAAACAAAGTTTCCACACTTCAGCAGCCCAAACTCAGTTTTATATATACAAATGAATCAGAAGCATATGTGTATGGGCACTCACAGATCTTTACAGGATGAACAATAAAAAAGAGCCTTGAGAAAGGTGGACTGCATCTGTTAAAAACAGGATTTTTTATTTCCTTTTGAGTGCCCATACACGTCTACCAGAAGTATTAACATTTTATTGTGCACTGAGGTATTTTGTGATTGAAGACTGTGTGTATATGAGGGCTGAACAGAAAATAATGCAATAGTGGTCATAACTTTTTTAATTAGCTTACATAGGTCATTCAACATTTACATCAGTAGAATAACTCTTCCTCTATAGAAACTCTTCTTCTTTTTTATTGCAGGTAAATAATGGATTTCAAGCAGAAGCAACATACCATCATTGAGCTCTTGATGAAATAGGGATGCAGGCTGTCTGACATTCACAGAAGGCTACAGAATGTTTATGAAGATGACACATTGACAAGAAAAAAGTGCACAAATGAATGAAGGAGTTTAATCACTTCACAACCACACTATAGCCGAATGACAGCTACAGCACGATTGTCCAGTTCTGGGAGGGTGTCATATGAAGTCCTCCAAGAACATGTCCTCCCGCGCTCCCACAGCTGCGCGCACCCGGCTCTCTCCATGATCGCTGTGTCCTACGGACACAGCTGATCACATGATGAGGTAAAAGGCCAATCACAGCAGCCTTTTACCACGTGATTAGCTGTGTCCAATGACACATCAGATCCCCAAGTAAATATGCTGTCACAGCATGAGGAAAGTACTGCCCATAACCTTACAAACCCTACAAACATCACAGAGCAGATCGGCACTGATAATCGGTGCCTTGATGATCAGTGCCCAACAGTGCCACCCATTAGTGTCCATCATTGCCACCTACCAGTGCCCATCAGTGCCACCCATCAGTGCCCAGCAGTGCCACCCATTAGTGCTGCCCAGCAGTTGCGCCCATCAGTGCCCAGCAGTGCCGCCCATCAGTCAGTGCCACCAGTCAGTGTCACCCATCAGTGCCTATCAGTGCCTCCTATCAGTGCCCATCATTGTTGCATATCAATGCTGCATCATCAGTGCCTCCTCATCAATGCCCACCAGTGCCGCCTCTTCAGTGCCACCTTATAAGTGCAGCCTTTCAGTGCCTATCAGTGCTGCCTATCCATGCCACCTCATCAGTGCCCATCAGTGCTGCCTATCAGTGCAGCCTCATCAACGCACATCAGTGAAGAAAAAAAAATTACCTGCTTGCAAAATTTTATAATAGAAACAAAGAAAAACTTTTTTTTTGCAAATTTGCTGCTTGTCTAGCACAAAAAATAAAACACCCAGTGGTGATTAAACACCACCAAAAGAAAGCTCTATTTGTGTGAAAAAAATTATACCAATTTCATATGAGTACAGCGAGTGTTGCATGACTGAGTAATTGTCATTCAAAGTCTGAGAGCGCTGAAAGCTGAAAATTGGCCTGGGCACAAAGGGGGTAAAAGTGCCCTGTGGTTAAGTGGTTAAAGAAGGGGAAACCAGCACTGAAGACAAACCAAGCAGTGGGATACCATGAAGTCAAACAGCCTGCACCCCTCCTTCGTCAAGAACTCAATGATTACACATTGCTTCTGCCTGGAATCCATTATTTACCTGCAATGAAAAAGAAGAGTTACTATAGAGAAAGAGTTGCTCTTGAATCAGTTTTTCGGTTTAAAAACTTGCAAGCCTAAAATAATAAAATTGACAAATTTCCCTTCCCAGCTTTACACATTGATTTGCCATCCTCACAATACTATGGAATCAAAAAGGAGATTCCCTAAGAATCAATGGTACTGAAGGATAGGACAAATATATTGATGAGAATTTTGAATAATCAACTGCGTGTGCACCCTCTGAACAACTTCATGACTTCTCATTACTTGTCCAGATGTCAGTGGCATTGCTTGAATGGAATATGTAAAACCATGCAGAGGAAAAATCCCTTTGCACACATAGAAATAAATGTATCAGACAAGCTGAAAGAAAAATTCTAGTAAGCCTAGGAGTATCTACAACTCAAACCTAAAGCCTTTGACAAACAGTTAAAAAATATTCCATTCCTTAGAATACCTCAGTTCACCTAAAGTTAATCACAGATTGCGTTTTGTACTTGAATGTCCTGTTTTTGGAAGATGACTGTAAATATGCTTATCGATACCACAAAGGAAAAATACTCGTAATAATGTTATGAACATAACTATCTCTAATTACTTGGCAGCATCTATAGGTTTTGAGAACGATTTCTTCTTTCATTTTATATGTCTCTCCTAATCCTTCTAAAGTGAATCTTTAAATTTATTCCAGCTGTCGGAATCCAAATGAAGCTCGAATTTTTCCAAAGAAAATTTTCGATTGCCAGCAGACAGGTAACTTAGAATCAGATGTTGATTTTAAATTATTGTTACAATTTTATGATTTTTTTTACATTTCTTACTTTCATTGTAGTATTCATGTGATAAACAAATGATTCACTATATCATCAATTCTTCATTTCATTTCTGTGTAGCTAAGTTGTGCCAAATGAAATGGGGGGTGTGGTTTTTCATCTCTCAGTCAGGTTTAAACAGGGGGAAAAATACAGCTGAAGAAATTACAATATTGAATCAATCAGAATATAATTTGTCTGGTTTGCTTTGTTATTAGTGCAAGCTATTTTGTGCAGCATTAAAATATATGTATAGTAAAAACGTTCTTTTTGTTTTGGAGTAGGGAAGGGGTAAATCCCATCAGTTCATATTTGGCTATTTGTGTACCATTAGGATAGTTGATATCTGAAAAGGTGGCCCCATTAGACAGTTGCCACCTGAAACAGTGTCCCCATTGGAAAATTTTCTTTTCAACTATAATTCTGGTGACAACTATAACATTTTTGATTTATTAGTATTTTCCATTTTGGTGATAATAGTCCTCAGGACAATTCAAGCGGTTGAGTCTACCCAGTGCAGACATGGACAGCAATATACTTTAGAAATTCTTACCTCTCCACCACGCTATTCACAACATTTAAATCCATATGTGGCTACTTTGGCTTGACAGAAGTTGATCTACCATTTGACTCTCGAATGGCCTTGTTGGAAAATTTCTCTTGATCAGTGGCTCCTGCCAATGGGCTGCAGCTGCTGATCAGTGTATTCTGACAGCTGAGGAATCCTGCTGTCAGAATACAATGTCTCAGCAGGGAGGATTCCTCCATCCGAAAAAAGGGGGGGGGGTTGTGAAAAGAGATTCACAAAAAAGTGGCTACATAGTGAACAGAATGTGATACTCAGAAAAAATTTCCAAAAATTATGCTTTATTACATATACAAATTTGACATTTGGGCAGTCGCCCTGGTTTACCATCACCTCAGTATGAGACAATACACACAGACCTAAAACCATATAAAATGACACCAAGACCGGTCTAAATACATGTGCAACAAAGACAGTGGCTACTAGAGTCTAAAGTCTTTGTAGCACTGGCGCACAGGTGAACACTTCCCAAAGGAGGTGTATGCAAAAATTGATACCATAGGTATACCATGTAACATGTTGTAAATATGTAGACATGTGCTACTACCAAAACGGTTATATCCCAAGCAGGGAATTTAAAAAAATTATACTATAGATATAAAATATCACATGTATGCAATGCAGCAAGCACAGTATGCGTCAATAAGAGAAACATGCCTCTAGGCCTATATGAGACAAAAAATGAATGTCATATATAAAATGCAGTACATTCCTAAGCCGGCACATGTGGTTGGGGCCCATTCATCTGTAATATAGGCGACTGTTTCCTAGGGCTCTCAAATGGGAATAAGCCCCATTTGTTACCAGGATGGAAGGATAGATGCAAAAGGCAAAATACTGCTTGAAATGGTTTCTTCACCACTGTATGTGGACTACACACCACTTTCTGTAAGGAAAACAAGACAAATCCCAATAGATCTTCTGCCTGTTGAGATACACGTGGTATATCCTGTTTCCTATGAAAAGCACCATAATGTCCCCATCCTGTAGTGAAACAGACAATATGTGGAAAGTCACTGGAAGGAGCTTTCACTCTATATAAGATATATAGGTCATATCGATCATATAGGACCATATAACTAGTGTCCTGTAACAGTCCACTCACCACCTGCGCAATGGATAAAAGGAGAGGAAGAGATGTCCTTCATAAGTACTGCCTTACAAGGCCAAAGAGGCCAAGGAACCACCGCTGACATCTGCCGACATACCGCGGGTTCCGACCTCTTCTCGGCGCCTGTGCTGCTTAAGCTTGCCTCATGGCATGTGAAGATGGCTTCCTCCTCATAGGTCAGCGTGCGTTCCACCTAGTGCGCATGACCGGAAATGACGTATCTGACGTATGACGTCAACGCGTTTCGCCGATGGGCGTATCTCACTCAGCTTCGTCAGGACCAATGAGATTCCTTCATTCCAATTTCCTAGTTATAGTGGGTTAAGACCCACCCACTTATGCAAAAATTCACTTGCAGTTACTCCCAATGGAAGGATTCCTCCATCCACCTCACTTGTTTGGGTGGGGAAATCATTCTTTTTTTTTATCAACTCACTGGTCATCCATGGCCAGCTTTACTCCTTGTAAACCCCAGAACTAACCTAGAAAATGAAGAGGTGCCAGTTTACTACAATAACTTTAGGATAGAGTGCTCTAGGGTGCTCTTGGTAACCCCAAAACCTCATGTGCCTGCAGTTTGTATTCCTAGAAATTCCTAGAGCAGACCAAAATGTAGTGTAGTTTACAGTAATCATTTATATTAACTGATGTTCTTCTAGTACAGTTTAGGAAATTACACATTTAACTGGTTGCTGCAGTCAAGAGGGTCCTAATTTATTAGAATGAGAAGGGATAGACCATCTTAAGATTGAAGTGAGAAGTGTTATCAGACCTATCCAGTGAAACTGCAAGTTGCAAAGCGTGAAGTGCAAGTTGCACTAACCAACCAGAAACCAGTTAACTGAAGCCATACCAGCTCTACACTTAACGCTTAATGCTGAAGTTGTGTTGAAACTAAAATAGTCGTGAGAACTACAGTCGGGTTCAGGGTTGGATATCTGCTGCTGCTCCTGATTTTGAGAAATGGATTGCACATGCACGCCGGAAAATGATCACACTGACAACTGTCCAGTATAACCACGTCCTCATCTCTGTTTATTGCAGGGCGGTGCTTAACCTGTTATACATAGAGAACAATAGAGTATACGTCATTATTATGTAAATATGATCATAGTCTAAAAAGCACATTTTGGTTGGCTGAAATATAGAAAGAAAGCAGGAACTTGAAGCTTGCTTGTCGCCCGTTATCTCTTCACTCCCTCACATATTCAAGGCCTAGGTACAAGATCTTCACAGCTCAACGGGAGGGGTTGAGAACATCGCTGAACAAACATTTTTTTTGAGTTAAAGAGGACTGCAAAGCCCAGCAGACAAAAGATATACGCACAACACATATATTTAGAAATATGAAAAAGTATAAAAGTAAATATGTATAAAATGTATATATTCAACAGAAAACCGAATAGGCATTTTACCAAATCCATCACAAAACCAGTTATTATTTCAGGATCAGTAAACCAAAAACAATAAGCATCTGTAGGGTTGATACATTTCATGCAAAAGTACTTCAGTCCTATACACTCTTTCATGAAAGGGACCTGCCCAAGTTTGAAGGAAGTGGTTTGTGATGCAACCACCTCACCCAGCATTTAATTATTTCGTTCATTTGCCCATTTCTTTCTTACAGTACTAGGTAGACACAAAAAATGTATGCACTTTTGATGCTTATGTGCACATGGCATAAGTTCTATAGTACAAGTTCCATGACATGGTAAAACTTATAAACCTTAGGTATTAAAAATATCAATTGGATTTAAATCCTTCCTTTTATCTAAACTCTGGGAATCTCCCTATCACTGTGCTATTATTTAAGCTGGTAATATAAGGTTTCTGATAATTGTCTACCAGCTGGTCCATGATTTCTGGCTGCCACTCAAGGAACAGGACTGGTGATTGGTGTTAACATGGATAAATTTAGAGGGCAGGAAATGTTCTCATGCTGGACCTCTGGCTGGTGGTTGGTTGGGTGATTAGGCTAAGCTAACTATTCAGTAGCTTTGC